AAAAAAAATAATGACACCTCTGAAGCAGTCATAATCAAGCCTGGACGTTCCATCGCTCCAAAAAAAACTCATTAGCCTGCCGCTCACATCGGTTTCAAAGTCCCATTCAAACATGCTATCCTCAAAACGTCTCTCTGCAAAAAATTATAGTAAAGCGTTGGCATCACCATTTTCAATTCTAGATCTCTTCTCTCTTTGAATGAAATTGAAAGCATCTGCCTTTGTACATTCTAGGTTCTCTACACCCCCAACTTCTTGGGCAAGAAAATTAAATGTGTCTTTTGGTCGTATCCCAGACTGAGTCATAGATCTAAGAACATCTGCATTTACTTCGCTTATCTTTCTGCTCGAATGCAGCAAGTGTTTGTCACCAGGGTTTGCTAATGAGTGGTTGTGTGATTCTATTAATTTTTTAACTCCCCAGTTGCCTTCCTTATCAACTTCATATCGAATCATTGCAGGGCAACCAGTTGTGGTTTCTGCTCTTTTGTATTTCACAGTTTTTGTAATCTCGAGCTCTTTCTTGAAACCTGCTTTTCCACATACGAAGTTAGGCACAATATACTTCATAAGCTTCTTTCTCATTGTGGACCATTGTTTGGAGTAATACGTTCGTTGTTTGCGCGGAATAACTACCTTTGCTCTCGCCAAGCTGGAAAAAAAAATAACCCTAGAATTTATAATAATTGCATATAATAAAAGAAAAGATAAAACCTACTATTTTACTTCACCTAAACCCTAGATTTAAAATTTCTTTAAAATATTTACATCAAACTTTACTTCACTGTTGTGTTAAACCTAATACCATGCAATTCTACCAACATAAGTCCAAAAATAAGAAAGCCTTAACAACAACCATTTTACTTCACCTAAACCCTGGATTTAAATTTTTTTTTTAAAATATTTACATCAAACTTTACTTCACTGTTGTGTTAAGCATAATACCATGCAATTATACCAACATAAGTCCAAAAATAAAGTATAATAAATTTACATGTCCATACACACCTCCAATTTAAGTTCCTCTTCGTTTTCCCTGGCAGGATAACTCCCAGCATCTCCTTCAACATCGTACACGAACTGCCAATCTTTGGAATCGTACTCCATCTTCAAGTTCACGAAGTCCAACTTGTCGAAGCCGTCGTTCCCTGATGGGCATAGAACAATAGAACAGTAACCCTAGCTGCTTAAATACCGTGATTCCCGCGCTCCAATATGCGTAACTCGCTGTTACATCGCAGTTATATCAAGGTTACATTCGCATTTCCAGTGTACATGGGCAGTACAATCGGGTTACACGGACATTACATTCGGGTTACACGCGTGTTACAATCTCTAGGTTACATCGGTGTTACACGTATTGTACATCAAGTGTACATCCTGATGCGTTACCGCGGGGTTACATGGACGTTACCATGGAAGTTGCACCGGGATTACATCCAGTGTACACGCGCAGTCGGAGGTTACAACGGATGTACAACAATAGTACACGCAGATTACAGTGGCGTTTCCGAGGAACGTACACCGGGGTTACATCCTTTGGTGACAGCGGAGGTTACACCAGAGTTATATGGGGCTTACAAGCGCGGTACATGGGGGTGAAAACAGAGATTACATAACTCGCTGTTACATCGCAGTTATATCAAGGTTACATTCGCATTTCCAGTGTACATGGGCAGTACAATCGGGTTACACGGACATTACATTCGGGTTACACGCGTGTTACAATCTCTAGGTTACATCGGTGTTACACGTATTGTACATCAAGTGTACATCCTGATGCGTTACCGCGGGGTTACATGGACGTTACCATGGAAGTTGCACCGGGATTACATCCAGTGTACACGCGCAGTCGGAGGTTACAACGGATGTACAACAATAGTACACGCAGATTACAGTGGCGTTTCCGCGGAACGTACACCGGGGTTACATCCTTTGGTGACAGCGGAGGTTACACCAGAGTTATATGGGGCTTACAAGCGCGGTACATGGGGTGGACAGCGGAGGTTACATCGGGATTACGTGGAGGTTACAATAACGGGTCGGGTCGACGGGTCACGCACAGTAGAAGGTATATTTGTATTGCGGTGGGGCCAACGAAACTGACGTGTCTTCTGCTGATTCGCTATTGCACGCAGCGCTGCGTGCCTCTTATGTACCCAAATTTTTTCCGTGAAGATGGGAAAAAAATTGCGTGCGATAGACGTACACAGCACTGCCTGCGATATTAGGGTTATACCGAGGGTACAAGGGGGTTAGATCTACGGTATAACCCCTTGTAACCTCCTTGTAACTTGCTGTAACATATCTGTACCCTAAAATAAGTTTCGTGCTTCTGTTATCATATATTAAGAGGTTACACGTAAGTTACAGAGAGGTTACAGGGAGGTTACAATGGCTTATACTGTGGATATAACCCCTTTGTACTATCGGTATACCCCAATATCGCACGCAGTGCTGCGTACGTCTATCGCACGCAAATTTTTTCCGTGAAGATGAGCAACCCAACAGGCGTTCCGTACAATGAATTGAAGCTCACATGAACCGTGGGGACGGGGCCCACTAGACACGCTGGAGACAAACAACCAATAACAATCGTTTTATTTTTATTTATAAATTTCAAATCATAATATGATTATTTAAATCATGCAGCCAATAACAATCGTTTTATTTTAATTTGATTATTTAAATCATCTTGCACATCTCCTTAAACATTTGCCAACACAAGAAAGTGGTGGAGGGCTTTCACCTACAAGTTCTTCTTGGGCACTAAGCAGTGGTTTGTCAAATTTGTTAATGAGTGGGGGTGTTCAAATAGTGCACCTTCAATTTTTATGGCTCTAATATCTAAATTGATGTATTCAATTAAAATTTTTATTATTTTAAAATATGCTTAATTTTTCATATTTCTTAAAATTCATTCAAACTATTTTTATATTTTTTATCTTTTAAATGAAATGATTAAATTTAGTATATATTATGTTCGTTTTAACTTCTACAATATTATAAGATTTGTTTACCCTCGTTCCATGATTAAGAATATGATCAAAACTATTACACTTGAACAGGAATATGTATCTTTTGAAGAAGCTAAAATATTCAAATTTAATAACTTCTTTGAGAATCTCATAATAATCTATTTCATTATCTGATTTATTATATGTTTTAACACAAATATTAGAATTACAATTCTTTTCCTCCATATGACCAAAATCATGTATGAAACATATAGTCATTCACGTCATAAATTTGTCAAATTTTTCCGATGTGTGGTCTCCAAGCAAGATTTATTAAGCCATTATCCATTACTATATTATTTTGACCATGAATCTCTCAATTCATAAAAAAATCAAGTGTCATTCAAATATCTAAAAATATACATATGAGATAAGTATTACTTATGTGCGTTTTAAATCATTGGGACAAATTATTTTTAGTCTCCCGACGTGTGATATCTTCTTTGTGTGAATTAAAAAAATCTATAAATAAGTTGACTCATTGGAAAATCTATGAATAAGGTGATTATTACATTTGATAAAAAAAGGGTGAACAACTACAAATAAATCTCTTTATATATGTTTGAACTTTGACGCAATAGAGAAGAATATAAAAATTCTTTGCTCGAAACTTATGATCACTAAGATAATGTTGTGTACACAACCCTAATGATTCACCTGACTAATTAAAAATAGAAAGTGTTAAAAGAGGCACCACACCTATTTGCTCTTTCGTGGGTTTTTCTTGCCCAAAATAATAAGGGCAGAAAGTTGTGGTTTCCTGTAATAAATATGTTTCGTAAATTGAGCCTTAAGGTCTAACTTTATTCTTCACAGTTCTCTTCAATTTATTTTAAATTTGTAAATAAATGATTTTTTAGTACAATTGTATAATTTTTTTAAATGAGTGACTACCTAATGCAAAGGGAATTACATCTCAAGGAATTACATTCAAAATTATTGTACTGGACCGCTAAGTATTACTTCATGCGGTAAATGTATTGGCAAATGCTCCATAGACTCGGAAAAAGCTAGGGGAGAATATTTTTTTAGCTTTCATAATATTATTTGAATATTCGCTCCTAATTACCGTACGTCATCAACTTTTAAATAAACTACACATAATTCTCTGAAGAACAACTGATTTCAATCAATGAATTAATTATTTTGTTTGGCAACTAGCTAAAATATGGTGGCATCAAATTTTTTAGGATAATATGACAATCGTGACTTTTCATTATAATTATTTTTTATGCTTCCACACCAACACGAGGACTCAAATTTGAAGCATATTCGCTATAAAATTTTAATGATTAGAGCCACTCACAAATTATACTTTGGTGCACCAAAGTAAAATATTTTGCCAACAGCATTTTTTTGAGTCTCTAGCTCTCGTTTTTTGTAGATATCCTAAAATTTTTTTAACCAACATGTACACCAAAATTATTGTTTTCTCTACAAATCATCTTAGAGCTCGAAACTTCATTCTAAAAATGATATAATATTTATTATCACATATAAAACTATGCAAAAAAAAAATTGATGATTACATGATGCAATTTTTACATAAAACTTTTCATTTCAAGTGTTCATGTATGAATGGTGATCCATGCACCCCAAAATTTTCATTTTCTCCACGATCATGAAAAGTTATTTGAGAGAGAATGGGGATTCTTTTGGAGAGAAAGGACAGTTATTTGAGAGAGAAGGGGGTCTCCTTGGAGAGGAGAAAGTCTTGGAGGCTTGCTTAGATTTGGAGGAGAAGATGAGAAGTGAGAGATATCTTCTTCACCACATTTCTAAGTGAGTCTGGATTGAAATTGTAAGGAGAGTGAGTGATTCAAAGGAACTAGAATGATTTCTTGGGAAGGAGTTTAAGATAAGTTGTTTATTTTTTTTTTTATTTTACTTAGTCTTGTTTTGTAAACTTATAATTATCTATTAATTCATGTGTTGTTGTTTCTTCCTCATGAGATCTGAGTAGTTTCATTTGTTTTTCTCCCTGCAATGAGGAATAATTATGTGTAGGAATGAAGTTTAGTAGAAATGTTTTTAATTTCATAATGATGATTCAAACTCTATACTTAATTTACTTATCAGTCTGATCAATTAATTTGTTAAAATCTATTATGAAAAGTAATTACCCAAAATGGGCTATGCTTTCCACAATAAAGTAAGAATCACATTTAGTCTCATGGATGAGAATGGATGAGAATGTAGTCTATGGGGCTATGGGGTTAAGTGCAAATAAATTGGAAAATAAGTTTTGATGGTCGTAGAATTGAAGATTTTAGAGTGACTGATTATCATCATGAAATGCTTAACATATAATAATTATAGAGTGACTGCTTAATATAGAATTGCCACTGCTTATCATCCTTGGAGCAGTGGTCTAGCAGAATTATCCAACAGTGAAATTAAAAGAATTTTAGAGAAAACTGCAAATTCTAATAGGGTGGATTGGTCTGATAGACTGGATGGGGCATTATGGGCTTATAGGATGACATATAAAACTCCTGTAGGAATGACACCATACAAACTCATATTTAGGAAGTCTTGTCACTTACCAACAGAACTGGAGCATAAAAATTATTGGGCTATTAAAAAATTTATTTATAATTTAAAAGATGCTGGTGAGAAATGATTGTTCCAATTGAATGAGCTTGAGGAGATCAAAAATGAATCTTATGAAAATGCAAAGATTTATAAAGAAAATATGAAATTATGACATGATAAGAAGATTTTAAGAAAAGATTTGGAACCTGGACAAGAAGTTTTACTATACAATTCTAGAGTAAAATTATTTCCTGAGAAATTGAAGTCTAGATGGATGGTGTCATTCCTTGTGATGAAAGTCTATCCGTATGGTGCTAGATATTAAGGATCAAAAAAGTGATAGAATTTTTAAAGTAAATGGACATAGGTTGAAACCTTACTTTGATGAAAGTAGACATATATCTATTGAAATCCAAATTTTGGGTAAACCCAAGTAAGTAGTGGATACGTCGGGCTAACGACGTTAAACCAAGTGTTTTGTAGGAGGCATCCCATAGTTATTAGAGCGGATTAAGTTTAGTTTGTTTAGATTTGATTGTGTGTATTTGCTTGGTT